AAACTGGAAATTGTAGGATTACTTAGAATTAGATAGCACAGATCGCAGATAACAGAAATATTATAAGTACTAGTGAAAGGAATGCACAGCAAAAGTTCAGAAAGAAGTAAGCAGATCAATCCCATTTTTCAAAAATTGTGGTAAATACCTCTTTAAGGTGTTAAAAGCAAAGATATCTTTTAAGGACTATGGTGCACCTGACTCAAGTCATGGTATTTTCAATCTCCTCATATGTATGGGAAAACTGGACAATGAATAAGGAAGACTAAAGAAGAACTGATGCATTTGAATTATGGTATTGACGAGGAATCTTGAATATACCATGGACTGCCAGAAGAATGAATAAGTCTGTATTGGAAGAAGTACAACCAGAGTGCTCCTTGGAAGTGAGGATTGTGAGACTTTGTCTAATGTAGTTTGGACATGGTATCAGGAAGGACCAGTCCCTAGAAAAGGACATCATGATTGGTAAAGTACAGGGTCAGTGAAAAAGAGGAAGACCCTTGGCAAGATAGATTGACACAGTGGCTGCAACAAGGGGCTCACACACATAGCAACAATTCTGAGGATGGTGCAGGACCAGGAAGTGTTTTGTTCTGTTGTACATGGAGTCACTGTAAGTCAGAACTGACTCAATTGCACTTAACAAAAACAACAACAAATATATATGCAATAAAATATTTGGCATATTAACAATTTTCACATGTACAGTTCAGTGACATTCATTATATTCGTTATGTTGATCAACTAGCAGTTTAGAAACTGAGTGTGGAGGACCATGAATTGATATGTGCTTAAGTCAAGATTGGGTTAGGAAAGCAAAGTACCCTGTGTTCTAAGAACCATAGTTAGTAGTTAGAGAACTGGAGACTTAAAAAACCATTGAAAGGGCATTACGAATAAAGATCAGGGAAGTCTCTAGTAATGATCTCAACCTTCAGTTTAAAGTGATACATTCTCAAAAAATATTCTCTGAAGCTGTGGCATTCGTCAAGAACTTCCAGAAAGCTTCAATAAACTCTCTCAATCTACAGTAGTGAAGCAAATAGTTATTAAGCGCTCTCTTGGATGACATTTCACCATTCCATTTGCCTACATTTCTGCCTACAACTGCAAGAGAAATAATGGCTTTCTCTTTTCTGCCACCTTCAACACCTTACATGAATATCCCTTATTGGTAAATTTTAACACAGAACCATATAGATTTCTGAGAAATGCAATTCTGGGCAGGCTTTTCTTTGAGAATTAGAGCTGACTTTACAAAAGAGTGGAAGTGATACTCAGTCAAAATAGACAATCCATCTAAGAAGGAAAAAAGATCAGTGTTATGCGTTGAATTGTGTCCCCCAAAAATTGTGTGCCAACTTGGCTAGGCAATGATTCCCAGTATTGAGTGATTGTCCTTCATTTTGCAATCTGATGTAATTTTCCCACGTGTTGTAAATACTACCTTTATGATGTTGACGAGGCAGGATTAGAGGCAGGTATGTTAATGAGGCAAGATACAATTTACAGTATTATGTTGTATCTTGTCAATCTCTTTTGAGATATTTAAAAAGAGAGCAGCGAGCAGAGAGGAAGGGGACCTCATACCACGAAGAAAGAAGAGCAGGGAGCTGAGAGGGTTCTTTGGACCCAGGGTTCCTGCACTGAGAAGATCCTAGACCAGGGGAAGATTGATGACAAGGACCTTCCCCCAGAACCAACACAGAGAGAAAGCCTTCCTCTGGAGCTGGTGCCCTGAATTCGGACCTCTAGAATAAGTTTGTTTGTTAAAGACACTCACTTGTGGTATTTCTGTTATAGCAGCACTAGATAACTTAGAGAATCAGGAAAACAGGAAGTACATCCTAGGTTTTCCATCCTTCTTCAATGAAAGTAAATCAAATCTAAAGCTGTCCTTACATATAATATTTAATTTAAACAGAGAGTTTTTCCTATTATTAGCTATTATCAGGTTGGCCCCGACTTATGGCAACCTTAAATACAAAGCAACGAAATGCTGCCCAGTTCTGTGCCATCCCTATCATAGGTTGTGGATCAAAACTTTGTGATCCATAGGGTTTTTACTGGCTGATTTTCAGAAGTAGATAGCCATGCCTTTCTTCCAAGAGAAGATTACACTACTAAAAATAAAAGAAGAACTAGCAGCAATTAAACACTATTGCTTTAAACACAAGTCCACTGTGCCAAATACATGAAGACAGATATTGCCATGCTCCAATTTTACTCCTCCATAAGCAATCAGTTCCCACCCCCTGCCCCCCGCCACATTTCTTGTATCATATTCAGAGGAGATTTATTATCCTGTTATTCCTATTTTTTTTCTGTTTGCCACTCTCTACTGCATTAAAAATGTGAAGTCCAGAATTAAGAATAAGCCTTATAATGCCAATGGAGTACAATGGGACTGTTTCCAGCAATGGGACTGTTTGGACACTATCCATATATTCATGCAGCCCAAACTTACCTTAAAGTTTTAGAATATATTTCACACTTCTGCTTCATATTGAGCTTGTTATGAAAATTTTTCAGTATTTTACACATGAACCACTGTCTAGCTGGGTCACCTTTCCTGAATGAATTTTGAAATCATCCACATAAAATCAATAGCTGAAGCCATATAAATGAGCAAGATTTCCAAAGGAAAGATAGTAAAGCATAGAAACAGTCAAGGCATATAAACAGTAAATTAAGATTTGAACTTTTAAAATGAAGTAAAGAGCTAAGGAAATTTAATAATTAGAAGTCAGCAAGGAAATTGGAAATAATAAAATAAATGTTAGTTATAAAATAATCCATCAAACAAATATTTAGGGCCAGCAAAGAGGTTAATTCAGTTCTAGCAATAGTTGGAAAACTCGGTGATTTGTTATTGAAGCAATTAAGGAGAAAAAAAATACCATAATAGATTCTCTTTCAAAGCAGAAATTGAATAGATTAGATGAAGATATATGCCTGATTAGATAAGATCATAGGTAAATATGTGGTGAGGAATTATAATATCAGATCAAAACACTCATTTTAGCTTGTTGGAACTGAGGAAAAATAGACTTCTTGGAAGACAACTGCTCAGTAAATTTTCTTGACTGAAATAGTGACCCATGAACATCCGGAGAATACTACAGCTTCATGTTTCAAAAAAAGAAAGAAATCATTTAAATTTCAACAAACATGACAGACATATAATATAGTCAAAGTCTCAAAAATAAATTGTTGTTTAGAATGTTGATTGCCTTAGCTAGAACCATTCCATATTTTTGTTTTAAATATGTTTTCCTACAGAATACATATGTTAAGGTTCTAAAAGAATTTGTTACTATTGTGTAATAAATTGCAGAACAGCCCAAGCAGCTGCAAGGAAAACATTTTTATTACTAAATTAATAATTTCAAAGTAGACCAGAAGGGACCATTATCCTTCTGGACATGGAGGCGTATTGTTCTTTAGGTTAGCTAAGCCGGGAACTGCGAACTGTAATGAAGCATGCATGATTATATGACTGCAGTTGGAGTTTGATATTTTGGTTGATGAAATATTTGCTTACATTGATTTTATATGGTTCACATAATTTCAATAGTAGTACTGAGGCTTGCTATGGAATATTTCTATGGAAGAATTTGGCAACACAATTATGTCATGCATCATCTCTTTTATTTCTATATTTCATTCAATTTACTAATCAGCTTAAAAGATTAAAGAAGGAAATGAAAATAATATTGAAACTGTCTAAGAAAAACAATTAGAAGACCTTTAAATGGTTGATTCTCATTAGTAATTTGAAAAACTTTTAATTTCACAATAAAAGCTCTGTAATAAATAGCAACTGTAAAGCTTAAAGTAGATTTATGTCTTAAAAATTCTTTCCATGACTTGGAAAGTGAAAGTTCCAGAATATTTGACCATTGGCTATTTCAGTGATAACAATAAGAATAATAATATTACTAATAATAACAATAGAAAAAATAGCAAGTATTTATTTAGAGCTATTTACCGGGCACTATATTAAATGTGGAGCCCTGGTGGCACAGTCGTTAAGCTTTCTGCTGCTAACCAAAAGGTTGGCAGTTCGAATTCACCAGCCACTCTTGGAAACCCTATGGGGCAGTTCTACTCTGTCCTATAGGGTCACTATACGTCAAAATCGACTTGACGACAATAAGTTTGATATCAAATGTTTTATTATTTATTAACTCTTGAGTATGAAATATGAGGAGTATCAGACTGTTGTAACTGGTTATTATTTTCTAGAATAGAGGTAACATAAAAATAAAATGAAAATACATCTTAAAGTTCACACAGTTAAAGTGTACAATTCAATGGTTTTTACTATCTCAGTAAAGCTGTAAAAAGAAATAAGTAGCTAGACAGAAATTCAAAGACAAAAATGTAAAATAGGCTTAAACTATTTTAAGAATAGTTACTGAGCTGTAATTACTCAGTTTAAAACCATTATGGAAATGGTATTGAAAATCAAATTGACAAATAGATCTGCTGATTTATGCTTCTAAATATTTTCCTTACTATAGAAGTTCTGGGGAGTTCTGAAATCTGCTATTTACTATAACAACACTTAATAGTCTCTCCACAAATTATACAGACAAAGCCACACCAAACATAACAGTTTGTAATGGGAAAGCTGAGAGAAAAATGCAGAGAAAAGAAAGAAAGTCAAACCTTGACAGTGAATATAAAAAGAGAGACATGGTGGAAGCAATGAAGACAAATTAGTATTTACAATTTTTAAAATCCCAGTAATCAATATCTATATTTGTATTTCCTGTCAAATGTAATTCCAATGATAAAGTCTATTATATAATGTCTTTTGTACTTTTATTTATAAAATACTATAGGACATATAACAACCTATAATGAAAAATGTGCCAAGCATACAAAACTAATTGTAAACCTAAAAAGTAGTTCAATGCCATGATAGTAATTATTTTAACCTCTGATATTACAGCATATGTCTCTATTATTAGAATATTAAATTCCCTTACCATTGTGTAGCTGTGGGCCACCTTCATTAATTCAATGCATCCTTGAGCATCTGCAAATGCTCGTATTCCCAAACAGTTAGATGGATGCAAAAGCTTCATGAGAAAGTGACAGCACACTTCTACTACTTGAGGAAGCTGAAGAAGGCACGCTGCAGCAAGAAGATTTTCAATGGTGTCTTCCTTTAATTCCAAACAACCTAAACAAAATTAAAGAGAATCATGAAAATCTCTGTTTAAAGCATAAAATAACATGTTTCATTGTATTAATCAAATCATTAAGCTTATTTGCTAGAAATCCCTTTAGCCTACATTGATAGTCAGGATAAATATAATAGGTTATTACAGACCAGCAACTTTTTAAAGTATTTTTCATTTCTTACTTGATGTAATAATGTTCAAAAGTATCCAGTGCACACAACAGCTGTTTCAATTAGAATATCAGTATTCATTTTAGAAAGGAGCCCTGGTGGCAAAATAATAAGCACTGGGCTGCTAATCAAAAGCCAACATTCCAAACCTACCAGCCATTCCATGGGAGAAAGACATAGTAGTCTGCTTTACTAAGATTATAGGCTTGGAAACCCTACGGGACAGCTGTACTCTGTCCTACAGGGTCATTATGAGTCAGGATCGACTAGACAACACACAACAACAACAATATTCATTTCAGCAGAAATTATTGTTATTCCCCTGGTTGTGAACTAAGGAAAAAAAAAAAGAGAGAGGGAGAGAGAGAAATAATAATAATGTTCAGAATATATGTCTACAAGCTTAGAAGAGCAGAGGTCAATAACTTGAGATTTGGTTTCTTGGATTGAGAGTTTAGGTAATGGTTCATGGTACATCCCAGTTAATTCACCTAATAACGTGTTTAGTGCTTCTGTTCTACCTCCTAGTTTGTTGTAAAGTGCCTGTGATCTTAGAAGTTTGCAAGCTGCCATCCAAGGCACAACAATTGGTCTCTATTAGTCTGGAGCAACAGAGGAAGAAGAAGAGTCAGGATTAAGAGGAGGACATGGAATGCATGGCTAATTGCCTCCATAAGTAACTGCCTCCTTTGCCATGAGACCAGAAGAACTGGATGGTGCCCAGCTACCATTACTGAACACTTTCATCAAGGATTCTATAGAGGGATTCTGATCAAAATGGGGAAAATGCAGAACAGAATTACAAATTCTTATGGACTCCAGACTTCCTGGAACCATAAAGGTTAGATGAACCCCTGAAACTATTGTCCTGAGGTAGCCTTTAAATCTTAAACCAAAAATATCCCCTGACATCTTTTGAAAACTAAACAATAGTTAGGCTTAACTAGTACAAAATGTCTGTCTTGAGCATTATGTTCTTTTAAGAACTATCTATATGGTATCAAACAAACAACAGCAACTCGAAAGATTAGATAGAAACCTTAGGAGGCAGTGAGTTTATGTTAATGGGGGAGGAACAGCTCAGAATAGGAAGATGAGTATGGTTGTACAACTGGAAGAATGTAATCAATGTCACTGAATTGTACATGTAGAAACTGTTGAATTGATGTATGTTTTGCTCTGTAGATTGTCAACAAGAACAAAAAAATAAATAAAATAAAATAGGTCCTGGAAATGGCATTCAAATTCAAACCCACAACACCCATGATATGATTTGCACCATAAGTAAATGTCTTAAGATTCTGTTTATTTTTATAGAAATGGAATATATCAATTTGTTTTAGATTCTCAGTCATGATAGTGAAGAGAATAACAAAATTAGTAATACTGTAAAATAAAAGTTTTGTTAAGCATAAACATAGGTAATATTACATATTACAGTCTGATAGGAATTTTCCTGTGAGTATTTAAAAAGTATTTTGAACTATCATAAGGCACTATTTGATGCAGTTCATACAGCCTCACTAATATACCAAAAGTAAATATAATAATTAGTTACAGAACTATATCTTCTATGGGCTGATGCAGTTTCAAATGACATTGTCCAGGTACACAGTTTGCTAATAATCTCAAGTATTAAATAACAGAATATTATATCTGAGTATCAAAAGCAACTGGGTTCAGGGAACAATTAATAAACGGAATTATGGTATATGTACTGAACTCAATAGTAGGTTTTCTATCTAAAGATATCCAATCATTTAATATTTTATTTCTAGTATACACACTACCAAATCATATTTATTAGAGTTTTATATCATTTTAATAACCTTAAGTTAATCCTTTGTATGTTTTTTCTCATAATCAAAATTTCCATGAATGTTGAGTGACAGACTATATTAACTCCCTAACAAGTACCAGGAGTGGAAAAAAATTATGTAGTTGATTAAAGAAAAAAAAAGAGAGAAAAACAAAAAAAAGTTACCACCAAGTAGATTCCCACTCATGGTGACCCATGTGTACAAAGAACTACAGTCCTAGGGTTTTCAAGGCTGTGACTTTTGGAACCAGATCTCCAAGCCTTTCTGCAGTGGCAACTCTAGGGTGGATTCAAATCACCAACCTTTCTGTTAGTAATACTATGGTATGCTGAAGACAAGCAGTACACTCCAACATTAAAATTGAAGAAGTTAAAAACGTGTGTGTGTGTGCGTGTGTGTGTGTGTGTGTGTGTGAGTTAAGGCAATAAGTTTGGACAAGGTCAAGATTTTTACCCAGCAAACAACTTGTTCTTTCCAAAATATGAATAAGTAAAGAGAGTAGATTTAAAACAATCCCAGTAAATTAGTACTACTGACACTTTTGTTGAAGACCTGAAACCCAGTGGACTTTCAAAGGGGTCAGCTGGGCAGGTAGAATGGAAAATGGGTGGCCTTTGCTGTCACAGGTACTTTTTTATTCATCCTTGCATAGCTTTCTCTGACGTCTTCTATGGCAGAGAACTGTTGCATTCCAACACTTATAAAACAGAATCCATGATTTCTTGTGGTTAGAAGGCATATAAGATGCTGTTTATTGATACATGAGCAGTAGAATTAGAGAATTTGGTGTGTAGAGATTTTCATTCTGTCTGTTAAAATGCTTTTGTTATAAAGTTTAGAGCACAACTATCAGTTTCTTCCAGACCACAGATGAGGCCAGGGGGCCAGTGATGTGGCCCATATTGGCAATAAAGAAAACGATGGGCTGTGAAAGCCTTAACTGCAGCAAAAATCAATTGTTTTTGTTAACTGTTAAAAAGGCACATAAGCTTCCAAAGGTAACAAAATTTGGAAAACAAAATTCCCTTAAGTCTACTGCCTTTGTTCAATCACTTTAGTAAAACTGATGAATTTATTAATGTAAGTACTTTTTTTTAATAAATAAAGGAAAGATAACAGAAAAATCTCATATTTAGAAAAGTTCAAATAATTTATGTAGTTGTTCCACCCTCAAGAAGAAAAAACAAAGCACAACCCCTCACTTCTTAAGTGTATGCTGTATATAGGATCTGTTTTCCAGTGTATGGTACAGAAAGTCAGAAGAAAAGAGAAACTTTACAGTGGAGAAACCTGAAAAACATGACCTCAGTCAGGCGTTCAAGGTTAACATCAGGTGATTAAGTAAGTCTGGTATTACCTACCCTTGATATGATATGATGAAACTGACACATTACCTCTGTGGCCTTCCTCCCAAAATGTATAATCTCAGTCTAATCATGAGAAAACCATCAAACAAGTAGCAATGGAGGGGCATTATACAAAATTCTTGACCAGTACTCCTCAAAACTGACAAAGTCATAAAAACTAAATAAAGTACAAGAAACTGTCACACACCAAGGGGAGCCTAAGTAAATAAGTAAAAAGCGGTATCTCAGATTGGATCTTGGAACAGAAAAAGAAAGTTAGGAAAAAACTAAGGAAATCTTAAAGTATGGACTTTAGCTAATAATAATTTAACAACATGGGTTTATTAATTAAAAAAAATGTAACATACTAATGTAGGATGTTAATAACAGGTGAAACCTGGTATGTGGTATATATGAAATCTCTGTAGTATCTTCATAACATGCTCTAAAATTTATAACAAAAGAACTTTAACAAACAGAATGAAAGAATCTCTACACACCAAAGTCTCTAAAATTTTTTGAAAACCCTAGGAATTACTGAAATAATTTTTTTTTAATAAATCTTGTACAGCAATATTTTCTTATTTGATTTACTGTATAGATTTTTATAGGCAGTTTTTTACACTGGTCTGGTAAAATAAACATTTCTAATATAATATTTTTGGAAGCATGTATTCTTTTTTTCAATATAACTGATTTCATAGATGAAATTGGGAATATGGCAAAGTTGCTAATAAAGCACTACTTATCTATTAAAAAGTAGAACAGCATATGTTCTACCTCCTAGTTCATTGCATAATGCTTGTGGTCTTAAAAGGCTGCCAGTGACCATCCAAGGTTCAGCAATTGGTCTCTAATCACCTGAAGCAACAGAGGAAGAAGGAAAGTCGGGAACAGGAGGAAGAAGTATAATGTGAGGCTAACTGCCTCCATGAACAACTGCCTCCTTTGCCATGAGAACAGAAGAAATGGATGGTGCCTGGCTACCATTACTGAAGGTTTTGATTAACGATTCAGTAGAAGATTCCTGGTCAAAAGGGGTAAAATGTGAAATAAACTTTAAAAATCTCACAGACTCTACTCCTTCTGAAGCCAATGACGCTGAATGAACCCCCAAAACTTTTGCTTTAATTTTTAAACCTTAAACCAAAAATATCCCGACGTCTTTTGAAAACCAAACAATAGTTTAGCTTAATTAGTAAAGACTGTCTGCCTTGAGCATTGCGTTCTTTTAAAGAATTATCTATACGGAATCAAACTGACAACAGCAACTCTAAAGGTTAGATGGGAATCTCAGGACAGTGAGTTAATTGAAGGAGGAACAATTCAGGGGAGAAGGGTGAGAATAGTTACACAACTTGAAGAATATATCAATGTCACTGAATTTTATATGTAGAAATTGTTGAATTGGTATATGTTTTGCAGTGTATATTTTTATCAACATCACAAAAATAAAATAAATTATTAAAAATTACAAATAATTTTTTAAAAAAGAACAGCATAGATGCATATTCTTCTATAATCTTTGCTATTTCATTCCCATTCTATTTTACATGATTTCATTCTAATAGGATGTGAATTTAACTACATTCTCTTGTAGAAAATCAGAGTTTAATGATAAGAATTTGGAACATTTAGAAGCTTTAGCATTTACTAAAGGTGA